TGATGATAATGGAACTGTCAATTACTGACTCCAAAAAAATAAGTCATGAAAGAAATAAGGAATAATATAATTTTAAAAAATTAGGGCTGAAGCAGCCAGAGTACATTGATGAAAATTTAAGAGTGGCTCCAGTGAGATTCGGATAGTGATCATAGCTGTATTCCGAGTTTTTCTATAAATTTTATTTCTGATTTTTTAAATTTGATTTGATCATTTAAAAACTGATTGCAGTAAAAAGTGCATAACAGAATTTACCATCCTAACTCTTTGTGAGTGTACAGTTCAGTAGTGTTAAGTATATTCATACTGTCATGCAACTGGTTGCCAGAACCTTTTCTTCTTGCAAAACTGGAACTCAATACCCATTAAACAACAACTCTCAGTTTCCCTCTCCTTCTGATCTTTTAAAATCTCTGTATGTATTTCTATTGGAGGATTTACTCATTGCTTTCTTTACTTACTTATTTATTCATTCATCTGTCCATTCACTCACTCAACAAATACCGGAGCACTTAATGGCCACTAACACGATTAGTAACCATGGCACTGTATCATTTTAGTGGCAGAGAGAGTGAGGAGGACTTTGGGACATGTGATCAGGGTGGGGCCGCTGTGAGGTCACCTTCACAGGTCAATGGCTCGCTCACATTTAGGTGCCCCACCCTCTAGCATGATAAAATGCACCCATATTCCATAATAAAAGAATGTTTTGGCTATGAAACAATTTTCAAGTTAGATTGTGTTATTTTGTTTTGTAATTACTTTTTGAAAGATCCAAACTATGTTTCTGTGCCCTTAATCAGTTCATTGGCCACAAGAACCATGTTTTATTGCCGGATGGATAAAATGACTGATTTGGTGTTGATGAAAGTTCTAGAGATTGACTCTGAGTGTTTGATGTACCTAGCAGTGGTGAAAATTGTCTGTGCAGCTTTTTTAATCTGGGGTAGAATTTTCATGAGGAGGGTAAACTAGGGCTACTTAAAATATGTGGCCAGAGTGCAGTGAGGACTTCCCTGAATATGAGGTTACCCCTGAGGTGATGGTGTTGTAGCTTCCGCATAACTGCTCTGATTGGTCCAGACAAGACCCACATATGGAGGCCCCATAGCAACAGCCAGGCGGCAGCTGTGTCAGGGGCTGGTGGCAGCATCCTAGTTCCAGGGATGTCCATTCAGGTTAAAGTAGGATACCAGCCAGCAGATGACAAAGGGCAGGCTGTGGTCCAGGGCATGGCTCCAGCACCCTCAGGGAACTGCAGAGCAAATGAACATGAGCAGAAACCATAGTCATAGGGACTGGGCACCTGGGTGCACGCAGGGCCAATGTTCAGCCCATGAGCACATATGTGACCAGAGCCGCCTGGTCAGAGTCGAGTACAGGTTCTAGTCCCCACTGCTGCTAAAGATGGAGCTCAAATATACAATGTGGCCTGTTTTCCACGGACTCAGTGCTGTTAGTCT